AACACACACACACACACACACACACACACACACACACACACACACACACACACACACACACACACACACACACACACACACACACACACACACACATGCGCACGCGCGCATGAATATATTCTTTTCTTTTATAGACTATTGTTGATGATTGGATAGAAAAGTATAAAAGTAATAGAGAAAATGCTCTCCTTATGTTAATGCAATTTTTTATTAATGCAAGTGGATGTAAAGGACGTATCACATCTGAAATGCAAACAACAATGGAACATGTAGCAATAATTCGTAAAATGACTGAAGAATTTGATGAAGTATGTTAATAATATTTTTTGTAATAATTAATTTTTTTTATTTACATTCAAATTATAATTTATTATAATAATTTATTATAATATAGGAAAGTGGAGAATATCCATTGATAATGACTGGCCAACAGTGGAAAAAATTTCGTGCAAATTTCTGTGAATTTGTTCAAATTTTAGTTCGACAATGTCAATATTCAATCATTTATGATCAATTTTTGATGGATAATGTAATTTCATTATTAACTGGTCTTTCAGATTCACAAGTAAGAGCTTTTAGACATACTGCTACACTTGCTGGTAAGATATATATTTTATATATATATTATATATTATATATATTTATATTCATTTATATATAATCAAATTTATATACATGAATAATTTATATTTAAAGTATTAATATTATTTAAAGTATTAATATTAATTTTATTATAGCTATGAAACTCATGACAGCATTAGTAGATGTTGCTTTAACTGTATCAATAAATTTGGATAATACACAACGGCAATATGAAGCTGAAAGACAAAAAGCTAGAGAAAAAAGAGCTGCAGATAGATTAGAATCATTAATGGCCAAACGAAAAGAACTTGAAGAAAATATGGATGAGATAAAAAATATGCTTACATATATGTTTAAATCTGTATTTGTACATCGTTATAGGGATACATTACCAGAGATTCGCGCAATTTGTATGGCAGAAATAGGAGTATGGATGAAAAAATTTCACCAAAATTTTTTAGATGATTCTTATTTAAAATATATAGGTAATATAACTTTTCTACATTATGAATTTATAAATATATTTTGCAATATTTATAATTATTAAATTTATCATAATTTTTTAGGTTGGACATTACATGACAAAGTTGGCGAAGTTCGACTAAAATGTCTTCAAGCTTTGCAACCACTATATGCATCAGAAGAATTGAAAACTAAACTTGAACTTTTTACTAGTAAATTTAAAGATAGAATTGTTGCCATGACATTGGATAAAGAATATGATGTAGCAGTACAAGCAGTTAAACTTGTTATTTCAATTTTAAAACATCATAGAGAAATTCTTACTGATAAAGATTGTGAACATGTATATGAACTTGTTTATTCATCACATCGTGCAGTTGCACAGGCAGCGGGTGAATTTTTAAATGAACGACTATTTCGCCCTGATGATGAAGCAGTAGCAGGTGTGAAAACTAAACGTGGAAAAAAACGTTTGCCAAATACTCCTCTTATTCGAGATCTTGTTCTATTTTTTATTGAATCTGAACTTCATGAACATGGAGCATATTTGGTAGATTCTTTAATTGAAACGAATCAAATGATGAAAGATTGGGAATGTATGACAGATTTATTATTAGAAGAAGCTGGACCTGAAGAAGAAACTTTAGATAATCAAAAAGAAACATCTTTGATTGAATTAATGGTTTGTTGTATAAAACAAGCTGCCACAGGTAAATAAAAATTAAATATATAAAATGGTATATTAATTATAATTATAATACATTTTGTTTAATTTTTAAAATAGGCGAAGCTCCGGTTGGTCGGGGACCAACTAGAAAAATTTTATCAGCAAAAGAAATGAAACAAGTTCATGATGATAAACAACGGTTGACAGAACATTTTATACAAACACTACCTCTTTTGCTTGATAAATATCGAGCAGATCCTGAAAAACTTGCAAATTTACTTGCTATTCCGCAATATTTTGATTTAGATATTTATACAAAATCTCGACAAGAGCAAAATTTAGATTCATTATTGAATAAAATTCATACGATCGTAGAAAAAATGCACGATACCGAAGTTTTAGATACAGTCGCAAAAACATTGGAACATATGTGTATAGAAGGACATGCTATTTTTACCAGGTAAAATTTTATGTTTTTATGTAATGAAAATTTCTTAAAAGAATATTTATTATTTTATATTTTTTTAAATAGGTGTGACGTAGCGCGATCAACATTAATTGATTCTATTGTAAATAAATATAAAGAAGCTATAGATGAATACAGAAATTTAATAGAAGGAGATGAAGAACCAGATGAAGATGAAATTTTCAATGTTGTACAATCTTTAAAAAAAGTCTCAATATTTTACTCTTGTCATAATATGAATCCATGGGGAATATGGGATTCTTTATATAAAGATATTGAAGATGCCAAAGATCCATCCAAGTAATAACATTATATATTTTAGATATATGGAAATTTTGTTTGTAAAAATATGAATATTTCATTACAGATGCTTACCACATGAAGCAGTTAAATATTGCATAAGTGCATGTTTTTTTGCAATTTTATGGGGACAGAATCATCTTATGGAAGCTGCAGATTCTGGAAATCGAGGCGAAGATGAATGTCGACAATTAAAAGAACGTTTACATTCTTTTATGGGTTCTATGCGTTATTTTGTCAGTGGTGACGTAAATGGCGCGGTAATTATATTATTTTTATATTTTTCTTAATATTTTAATGATACATAATATTTGTTAATTTTATTTTAGCCATTTCCACCTATTTTGAGAGAAGAGGCATACAATACAATATGTGATTTATTAGTAGTATTTTGTAATCAATTAACAACACATTCTAATCCTTTAATGCATCAATTAGTATATGAACCTGATCAGGCAATGCAAAATATGCTTAATCGATTTATAGAAGAATATGTATTTTTTGAAGAAGAAGATGGTATGTTAACATTTATTTGTCAAATATATTTTTTACAAGATTTGACTTTAATAATAAGATATATGCAATATATTTAGATGAACATGATGAACATTCAAAAATCGAAGAATTACATAAAAGAAGAAATTTTTTAGCTGGTTATTGTAAGTTAATTGTATATAACATGATACCTACAAAAGCAGCAGCTGATGTTTTTAAACATTATGTGAAATATTACAATGATTATGGTGATATTATTAAAACTACATTAGGAAAAGCAAGAGATATTAATAAAACAAATTGTGCTTTAACTATGCAACATAGTTTAAATATTTTATATAATGAAATAGTAGCAGAGAAAGGAAAAGTTAATAGAAATAGTGAAGAATTTACTGCAATTAAGGTTTGTTTATATATATAATTTTTTTATAATTAAATATATATTGAAATATAAATGTTAATAATATAATATTTTCAGGAACTTGCAAAACGATTTGCTTTATCATTTGGCTTAGATGCAGTAAAAAATCGTGAAGCAATTACTGCTTTACATCGAGCAGGTGTTCTTTTTGCAATTACACCACCAGATGGTATTGAACAAGATCCTACAGGACCACCACCTAATTTATCCTTTCTTGAAATTTTATCTGAATTTACAAATAAACTTCTTAAACAAGATAAAAGAGTAGTGTAAGTTCAATTCTATTTAAAACTTTTTATCAATATATTTTTTATTTTAACAATTTTAGTGATTTTTTAAATTTATTTTATATATATTTGTTATAGATTAAATTTTCTTGACAGAAGATTACAAGCTGGAATGCCGTCCTCACGGGGAGAGGATTGGCAACCTTTACTTTTATATAGGAATAGCTTATTACATGGCGAAACAGATCAAGTTCCAGTAACAAGTAAACGTGCATATACAAGACGTAAAAAGGATCATTTAGCTGGTATATAAATAAATATAATATTATTCATTATTCGAAATTCAAAATTTTTTTAAAAAAATATTAATAAGATTTTTATCCTAAATTAAATTTGTAATTATTTAAAATGTTTGCAGAAGAAGAAGAAGCAGATGAGCCTGAAGAAGGTTCTGATCATGAATTTTCCGGGTAAGTTAGGTATTCATACCAAGTCAATACAAAATAATATATACTAAAATAATTACAGAAATTGAATATTTATATACTTGCAAGTAGTTCCTATATATAATCCTTTATAAAAATTTATAATGAAGTTAATCTATAATTATATGTATATTGCAACACGCTTTATTGCTTTTAAAATAGATTTATGCTATGAATGACAAATATTTTAATATAGTTATAGAAAATATTGTAATTGTCTCATACATTTACACGCTTATGTAGATTTTGATGCACATATAATGTATATATTTCTTTTAGTATTATTAGTAACATTATGCTTTTGTGTTAACAAATCCTAAAATTATACATAATTTAATTATTAATAAAAATTATATTTAAATATAATTTTTTATTCTGCTTTATAATGTATTTCATTGATTATATTAGATATATTATTAAAATTGAGAATTAAAAGTATAAAAGATATTTTTTAAATATGTTAGTTATTCAAAACTATAAAATTATTTTATTTATTTACAAATATATTTTATACAAAGATTATTGTGATATTTGTGATATAATTTGAAATGTAGTATATTATAAACATATTTATTTTATTTTTTTTATTTATAAAATTATAAATTCTTAAGATTAAAATAATTTTTAATATATATATTTTCTTATTTTTTATACATTTATAATTTAATTGCATGCTTAATTATGCTAATTTATTAATAAGTATCTTTGGCATCTTTATCTAAATTAAAAATTGTTATGTTTGCATGAGTAGTAATCTTTTATGAATCGCTTGTTGCAGGCTACCTGATCGTTATTCAAGCTAAGACTTAGAGTTTTTAGCAAAATCTATAATATATTATAATCATATAAGGGACAAAAATTGTATAAGGAATTAATGAGGTTTATTATTCTTGGTGCCTGTTTTAAAATCAACTTTCAAACTAGTGTAAGGAATTATATGTAATATTATCAAAATATCAAATTAAATATCAAACACATACTTAAATATGTAAAGAACAAATGTTATGTGAGGAATTGATGAAATCTGTTATTCTTGGTGCCTAATTTGGCTACTAAAGAACTCATCTTCTATAAACTAGTGTAAGGAAAATAAGATAAAAAAATGAAAAATGATATTATGAAATATAAATATTTTTGGAACACCTGACAAAAAATACATAGAGAACGATGTGTGTTCTATTGAACTTAAAACCAAGTAAGTTTAAAATACTTTGTATTCTGTTTATATATTGATAATATACAAATTGGTAATAGATATAATGAATATGTGATATTAATTGAAATAATACCCTCTTTTCCTATGAATTCCTAATCCTGTTATCAAAATTTTTAATCCATAGCAAATAAGTAATGCTGCTTTTTATAAAATTTTTCCTTATCAAAATTTGCAGGAAATGTGACAGAATTAACCCATCGTTTCACATTTCCTGCTAAATATCGGATTTTTATAGTTTATATTTTTTAACACGCCGTTCTCTATTATCATTATAAAAATGTTTTTAGGTATTTGATTTGTTAATATTTGGGTTAATTCTGTATACTTAATTCATCGTTTCTTCAATATAATTAAATATATTTATATATATGTATACAATTTGAAATTTCATAATACACGCATTTATTCGTATTATATGAAAGATGAGTGTGAAAAAAATTATTTAACATAAATTTTTGTCCCTTTATTTATGATATTAATTCCAATATATTTCCATCAATAAAAACTTTTTCTTTCAGTAAATACAAGAAGAAACGTGGTCCAAGGAAGCATCAGTGAGTAGTTACATTTCAATATTTCTTTTTAGTTATAAAAATAGATCAGATTTAGATTACACTTATATTTATCTATTAAAAGGATTAAATTTGTAAAATATTTTGTAATATTTTGTAAAATATATGGACAAAGTGATTTCATTTAAATAGAGAAACGTCTACATAAAATAAATTTATATGTATCTATTCTTTATAGTACTATTACTTAAATCTTTATTTCAGATTAACTGTTAATAAGGTGTCAATATCTCGTGGCTCTAGAGCAACTGGCTTTTATGAAACAAATGAAACTACACAAATGCAAACTTCTCCAACAGCAATTATTGAAGATGCATCAACCAGTCCTTCTCAAGACATAGATAATAAACTTAAAACATTGCAAATTCAATCTAGATCGTAAGTATGATAAATTTTTAAATTTAGATATTTTTTGAAATTATATATATTTATAATAATTTCTTATTTTCTTTTTTAGACGAAGAAGTCAAGATAATATAGAACCAAGAGAATTAAGAAGAACTTCTAGGAATTCTGGTCGTTATGTAGAAGGACAATATATGGTAAATTATAATAATTTTTAATTTGCAATACTAGAATTATCAGAAATTAATATTAAATTATTATTTATAATATTTTAATAATAATTAATATATATAATTATTAAAAAATTATTTAAAGATTAGCTTCAAAATTCGATAAATTTTTTTAATAATCTAATTACAATATAAAACTAAAAATATTATTAAAAAATATAAAATTAGTCAAAATTCAACTATCAATAAAATGAATTTTGTATTATCAAATATTCAATCATTATATTAATATTATGACAAATAATTTTATATACGATATTATATATAAATTTAACATGTAGGTCATAACATCTATTTGATGTATATTATAGTTTCTTTAATAAAAGGTTTTTTTTGTTACAGGAGTCTGATTCTGAATAAAATATGATAAATAACAATACATTCATTCAAGACAAAACTATTCTAAGAGGAGATGATTTGTGATATGTTTATAACACAAGTCATATTGTGTAAGTTTTAAATGATATTACAATTAAAATTATATATATGATAATTCATTAAATTACATTTTTTAAAAGTTTTCTGCATTTTTTAAATTATTATTTTCATTAATCAAAGTTACATATCTTCTTTTGAATTTATTAAACATTATAAACAATACTTTTCATGTTTTTCAATATATAAAATTCTTAAATATTATTGTTATTATAACATATTTAATAATTATCGAAATAATATAAGAAAGATAAATATTTTTTGTATACTATTTACTTATTTAAAATTTCCTTTTCATATTATATTCTATACTTTTTATTATTATTCTACTTTTACTATTATACAATTATTATATAATTTGATATGAAAAGCGTAAAGGAAATACATTTTTTTACAATTAATATTAATTATTGTTAGTAAAAATTTTATATTACATATATGATTACTTATCTATCATTTACATTACGATATTTACGGAAAATGCTACTTCTTCTACGACCTCTTGGTGTAATGACATTCTAAAATATTAAAAAATATAATTTATTATTTACATAAATTATATAAAATTTTGTATTATATTATTAAATGAAGTTAAATAAAAGAAGTTAAATTAATATATTATTTTTAAATGATATTAATGACTTACTTCATCTTGACGTCTTGAAAGGAATAAATTTTTCAATGTGCGTGGTGTAGTTGTTGCTCTATCTTTGTTTCTTTCTCTTAATATTCTTGAACTTGGACTTCTTAATTCATTACCCTTCAATTTTTAATTATGTGAAAAAAGATCAGAAGATTTCAGAAGTATTAAGTATTAACTTTGTAATATAGATATATTACTTTCATTTATTACATACCTGTAATGATAGTCTCCCTCCATTTTTACTAGGAGTTGGAGGACCAGGTTTTTTATATGATGTCTATAAAATAAATTATAATTGAAAAAATGAGAATTTTAATTATAATAGATAGATTTAAAAAGAAACATATTTATAAATTTAATACATTTATAGTAATACATCTATTATATATCTAATTATAATATATGATTTTTTTTCATTAAGCACATGATAAGAATTATAAATTTTTGTCTTTATTAAAATTATTATAAAAAATATTAATTTTTTATTATCTGAATATTAAACATACCTGTGTTCTATCTTTTTTTTTAGTTTTTTGTTCAGGAAGTAAACTTTGACTTAAACTATCATTAAATATTTCATCTGGGACTGAACCTGACTATAATTAAATTAAATTAGAAACAATAATATATATTATTATAAATTGTGTGCGCGCGTGCGTGTGTGTATGCATACACGCGCGCGCAAATAAAATTAATAAAATAGGATGAATTCAAAATTATAATTACGGTATATATAATTTGAATTATTTATGACTTTGAAACATAAAAGATAAAAAATTTCAGTAGATAAAATTAAATGATTTTGAATATAATGTGATACATGTATATATTCTAAAAGTCAATTCGAAAATTTGAATATCACAATTCAATATCTTTATTTTTAATTGATTGATATATTTTTATAATATAATTGATTCATTTTTTATTTTTCTATTAGCATTGAAATAATTATATCTAAAAATCATTAATTTAAAAGATATGATAACATCATTTATAAAATCATTTATAAAACTTATTGTATAAAATACAAAGAAAACATATATGCAATTTGTTTATTCTACAAATTTTATAAAAATAAAATTAAGATTTTAATCTTTTTCTAGAAAAAATAACAAAGATATATAATTAATATATATATATATATATATATAGTTCCAAGAAAATAATAATAGAATCTAGAATCTAGAACTAGAATCTTAGAATTTAGAACGTTTAAAATATTTTCAACTTTACTTTAACATATATATGTATTAAATCATGTATCATTTAAAATCATTTCATTTTGTTGAATTAAATTTTTTTATATTTTATATTATATTTCAGATTTACAACTTGATCCAGTTATAGATGAAGAATCCTGAATATACTTATAAAAATTACTTACTTTAATTTCTTCTTCTGTAAATGGTAGAGGATGAAATTGCATTTCTGCTGGATAAGATGATTTTAAATGAGGTTTGCAAAGAGCATTTCTTTTTTTCAAAATAGATAATCTATCTGTATCAATGCCACACGAAGAATTATCATCTTTTATATCAGCTGGTAATTTTAATTTCATTAGTAAAAATAAATAAATCAAAATTAGTTTTTAATAAATTGTTTTTAATTTACCTAAATAAATATTATCAAATACTTCTCCTTCTTCATCTTCTGCATTAAATACATTACCCATTGTTTGTATATTCCTAATACTATATTTTCTTTCATATGTTGTTTTTTCTTCTATTATTGATATTTTATGTAAAACATCTTTATTTTCTCCTAATAAATCTTTTTCACATCTAAAAAAAAATTTAGACAATATCTATAAAATATATAAATAAGTAATTTTTAATCATTAATACTATAAAATTAATTATACTTTAAATTCTTATATTCTTTTAAAGAACAAATTTTTGATCCAAATCTTGATATTTAGTTTTCAATTCTGTTAATTTCTTTTGTAATTTTTCCTTTTCTTGCTGTTCACTTAATAATTTTTCTCCAACATTCCAAAGCTGTGAACTCATGTTAGCAACATGAGCTTTGTATTTATTTAATTCATCTGCTTGTTTGCGACATTGTAATTCCATTTTTCTTTGTAGTAATTCCAATCTTTCCTGTATGCATTGTTCTTGTTCTTTATTTAGCTTTGTTATTTGTTCATTATATGCTGTTTTCTATAACATTTTATTAAGAATAATGTTTGTGTAATTTTGTTAGAAATAAAATAATTATAATTATATATATTATAATAATTCTAAAAATAAAAATATTAATATGCCTACCATATTTTGTTTAATTTCATCTACTTTAATTTTATATTTATCATGAATATCTTTTAATTGATTATCAATATCCTCCTTTTTTGGTCGCTTGCATAATTCATTCTTTTCTTCTTGTAATTTTGAATTTTGTTCTTTTAATTGTATTAATTCTTTATTTAACTCTTCTACTTCTTTTAATGATATTTTCATTTCTTGTATTTTAATACTAAGTTCATCAATATTGTCTTCCAATTTTGCATTTTTTATGCATGTACAATCTAATTTACTTTCTAAATTACTTTTATCTTCTTTTAACTTATTAATTTGCAACTGTAATTTTTTTTCTGATTCAGATTGGAATTTTATTTCATTAAATTTAAAATTACTTTCAAAAGAAATAACTAATTTTGAAAAATCATCTATTTCATTCTGTAATTGAATAATATCTTTTTGCAATGTTTTATTTTTATGTAATTCTGCTTCTATTATTGTTTTTTCATTAGAGAAAATATCTGATGAAATCAAATCTACTGTTTGTTCACTTTTTGTTTTCAAATAAATATCTTCTATTTTTTGTTTAGACCATAAAAATGAATCCCATAAAATATTTTGTAAAGGTTTCATATTTTGAAAATGATAAATATGATGTTTAAATAATATATTTTCTAGATATATTTTTTTATTCTGTATATGCTTTAATTCATCACACACAAAATTATCTATTATAAATACATTATAAGATTTTATTAATATATTATCCCATTTTTGTTTTAACTCATTTAAAGATATATCCAGATTTTCTCTTGATTTTATAATATTTTTTAAAGAATCTTTTAATGATTTTTTATTTTCAATAAAATTACTTACATATTCTTCATATTTTTCTCGTAAATTAGTTAGTTCTTGAATTTTAGTTTTTAATAATTTGATTTCTTCACATTTTGCAACATAATTATCTACAATTACTTTTTGATTTTTTAAAGTTTTATTTAATTTTGTATTTTCATCTGAAAGAAATAAAATTAATTTACGTGATGTCTGTATTTCATTAATGGATGTTTTTATAATTTTTAAAATATTTTCAATGTTATCATTATTATTTTTATTTTGTATATTATATGCAGTATCAGCATAAAAATTTTCATTTTTTATATTTACTTCTGCAATTATTGATTTTAAATCATTTATGGAATGTTGTAATTTCTCACAATCTTGTATAATTTTTAATTTATTTATATCTTCAAGTTTACAATATTCCTTACTTTTATTAAGTTCATCTCTTTCTTTTTTTATTATTTGTTGCAATTCTTCTATCGTTTTTGTTTGTTTATAAAATTCTGTTTGTAATTCAAAATTTGCAGTTTGAAGACTTTGGCATAATAATTTTTTATTTTCAAGTTGTTTATAAACTATTTCCTTTGAATCATTGAATTCTTTTTGTAATTGTTCCAATTGTAAACATTTTTCTTTCAAAGTTTTCTCTTGTGTTTTTAAAACTGCATCTTGATTGCTTCTTACTTCCTGCAGATTTATAATTATTTCTTTTAATTTTATTTTAGATGCAATTGTTTCTTTTGATAAATTTTCAAATTCATTTTGCACAAGTTCTAGTGTTTCTTGTTTTAATTTCACTTCTATATTTAATTGATCTAAATGACATTGACTTTTTAGCAATTTTGTTTCCAGTTCTTTTATAAAATTTTTCATTTTAGTTTCTTCTCCCATCTGTAAATGTATTATATGTTCTTTTTCTAATTTTTAAAGAAGTAATTTCTTCAATTAAATTCTGAATTTTCTTATCTTTAAATTTTAATTGATCTGATATATTACATACTTCTTGTTGAGATTTTCTAAGTTTATCATTTATATTATTTAAATCAAGTAAATTTTTTTCATTTTCAGATTTAAGATTTTTATATTGATTTTGAAATGTCTCTTTCATTTCTTCAAATTTTTCTAAATTTTGTTTAGTACATATTAATTCTGTCTCCAAATGATTTATTATTTGTTTATGATTTACTAAATCATTTTCTAATATATTGTTAAAATTTTTATAATCTTCTAATATTTTTTTATTATCAGTAAGTTCATCTTTCAATTGACATTTGCAAAGTTGTTCTTCAGTAAATTTAGTATATAATATTTTATAAGCATTTAAAATATTTTTATTTGTTTCTTTATTGTATTTTTGGTATTCATTTATTTGATTTAACACATCTGTTTTTATTGAATAAAATTCTGTTTCAAGAGTTTGAATATTTGTTTTCAAAGATTTTATACATGTTGTAATAGTTTTTAATAATGCATTTTTTTTATCTACTTTTTCTTTATACATATATAAATCTTTCTCTAAAACTTGTTTCTGCAACTCAATATCTTTTAAACATGAAATTTCTTTGGAATATTTTTCTATAATGCTAGTAAATTCATTAATTTTTGTTGTATTATCTATGATAATTCCGTTTAATTTTGATATTTCTATAATATTTTGTTCATCTTTTTGTTTTAATATAGATATTAATGATTGAGAATTTTCAAGCTTTGATTTAATTTCTGCTATTGTATTATTTAATGTTTCTACTTCTATTTGTTTTAAAGTATATTTTTTATTAAAATTACATATTAATATTTGTACATGTTTTATAAGTTCAGTAATTGTTTTATCATTTAAATTATTTTCCATACAATTAATTTCTGAATTATGAAATATAATTTCTTTCAAATTTGTATTATATAAATCTATAGAAGTTTTATATAAATTATTTTGTTCTTTTAAATTTTGGATACATTCAAGATTTTCATGCATTTGTGATTTATGTTGAGTAAGTTCAGTGTGTAATTTAATATTATTTATATTTTCATCGTTTAAAGATTCTTCTAAATTTTTTATTTTTTCTTTCAAAGTATTTATTTCAATGATTGATATATTTTTGAATTTTTCAGCATGTGACAATGATTCATTTTGAGAATTACATACTATTTCTAAATTTTTATTTTGATTTATTAAAGTTTCTTTTTCTTTTTGTAAAATCTCAATTTCATTATTCAATTTTTTTATAACTGTATTTAATTTGGTTTCTTTATTTTCTAATATTTGCATCTCTTCTTTCAAAAATTGTATTGTACTTTCATATTCTTGAGTTATGGATTCCAATTTTTCATTTACTGCATCTAGTTGAGTCTTTAATGAAATAGATTCTTCTTTTGCTTCTTGTAATTGAATATCAATTACAGAACTTAAAACTTCACTGGTATTTAAAGATGTTGAAGATGACTGTAAAGGTGCTATTCCATCTATTTCAAAACTTTGTTCTTCAAATGCTGTTTTGTTAAGTTCTTTTAAATGAATGCGCAATTCTTCATTAGTCATTCTTAAATTTATCAATTCTCTGTCTTTAATTTCTCCTTGAATTTGTAAATTTTCTAAAGATTTTTCACAATTTTCTACTTTTTCTTTAAAATATATACATTGCATTTCTATGCATGTTAATTTTTTTGTTAAAGTATCATTATTTACTTCAAGTTTATCTATGTCACATTGTTTTTGCATTAATTGATCTTCTAAATGATCTATTTCTTTTTTATAATGTTGTTTATAATCTATTATATCTTTATTCTTTTTACAAGATTGTGGTGTATTTGGTTTAATTTTTTCTTCTTTTAATGCTTTTATTTCTACAGTCTTTTCTTCTAATTTTTTTTGCAAATTTTGTACTTTGTTTTGTTGAATTCGTAAATCCTCCTGTAAATCAGCTTTTTCAAATCTTTCTACTTCTAATTCAGTTTTCAACATTCTCAATTCTTTATTTTTTTCATTTAATAATTTATGAGTTTGAGCAGACCATGTTGCAGGAGAATTAAAAAAAATCCTTAAGTGTTTTTTTTCGTAATGTTACAGGTGTTTTTGGTATATCAGTTTCTACTTCAGTAATTATTTCTCTTAATATTTCTCTATTTATATTTTTGCCATATGGAATAATCATTTCAAGAAATGATTTAATTTTAAGTTGTGTTTCATGTTGCAAATTAATACACATTGGATGATAAAATAATGGTTCTTGAGATACATGCAATAAAAATAATGATGCAATATAGATGTGTTCCATTTCATCCAAATTTTTATCATCAAAATTATATTTTGGATATTCATCTATAAAATGTAAAAGATATATAATATATTCTTATGAATATATATATAATGTATAATCTTTGTAATATATTAACATACCTTGTAAAAATTTTATTATAATATTTTCTGTATTTAAACAATTTTTAATACCTTTCCATTGACTATAAAATAAAACATATTTTATTTAAATATTTTATATATGAATATTTATAAAATAAATATATTCTAATGTATCATATAAATAAATTATTTAAAAAAAAATTTTATAAAATAACATTATAATAATAAATTTATAACATTTTATTAAAAACTTAAATATAAATATGTAAAATATTATAATAATATTACAATTACTTACAATAAGTCTATTAATTTTTTGTAAAATTTTCCATTATTTAAATCTTTCAAATCTTTAATAATTGTTTCTGATACATCTAAAGAATTTAGCTGAAAATATTAATTTTTGTTAAAATAAATTGAAGTTTATACAATGAATTTATTTATAAATTAAAATTTATTAACATCTTACATTCACAATACGAATATTTAAAGAACATTTTTACATTACCATAACAATTAAATTCAATCTATTCTTTCCAATTAAATATATTATAATATAATTAAAAATAATTTATTTGAAAATTATTTATTAATTACTTATAAATTTCTAATTATTAATCATTATTATTTACCCATTCCAATAAAATTTCAATCCATACTTTCATGATTTTTAAAAAAAGATAATTACTTATATTGTGAAAATAATTGTAGTTAAAATTAATATGTTCTTTTGATATACTTTTAACGTTCTATCGAAGGTACGTTTAATTTCAAACATTCATTACTTTCTTCACTACACAGGTAAAACTATCTATCTATATTATAATAAAAATATCCCTATGTTTTATTTAAAATCCCTAAAATTATAATAAATTTTTAAAAATAATTTATAAAAAATATATAATCTTAAAATTTCTTATTGGTAATTTTAATTTATCATTTTTATAAATGTATCTATTATAAAACAAAAAATTTATCTTTAAAATACCTTGTGAAAATAAATCTAATATATATATATATATATTATTAGTAAGTTACTATTTTATATAGAAGTAGTTAGTATGTGTTATACTTTGTTTGCAACAATTTTATAATTGAAAGGTACAAATTGTTCCACATATATTGTATTTATAACGTTTAATTATTTTGTACAGATAATATGTATATGTATAATATGTAACAAATGTTTTTTTCATAAATATTTTTATGAATGAATTATTCTTATAAACTTTTCTAAAAAGCAAAAATATTATTTAAAATATATTTAATTATTTATAATATATATATATATATATATATATATTATTTTTCAAGACTGCATTATTATTATAAAAAATTATATAATTTTTTTATATTAATTATATATATATTTTTTTATTTTATTAAAAATCTACTTTTTTAAATTTTATCATTAAAATTTTTTAATTAATTGATTAAAAAAAGTTAAATAAAAATATATTGTAAATATATTGTAATATATAATCATAATAATAATATCTATATAAATTTATAAATTTTTTGTTTTTAGTGGTATGACTAATTTGATATTTGGAGTCGGTATAGGATTGTTCCTTATTTTAGTTCTTTGGGCTTTAGCTCTATTGATATTTATTATTTCTTTAAGAATTGAAAAAAAAATTGGTATTTTTGCTATACTTATAGTTAGTATATGCACAATTATTTTAATTACATTGCCAAGAGCATCAGAAAAACCTATTATAAATAATAAAAAGGTAAATAATTGTTATAAAATTTTGATATATTTCTATTAATATTAATATTTATATATATAAAATAAATACTTAATCCTCATAGTTTTAGATATGAAAAACATATTTTGTTACAGATATAAAAATTATATAATTTTTTTATATTAATTATATATATATTTTTTTATTTTATTAAAATCTACTTTTTTTAAATTTTATCATTAAAATTTTTTTAATTAATTGATTAAAAAAAGTTAAATAAAAATATATTGTAAATATATTGTAATATATAATCATAATAATAATATCTATATAAATTTATAAATTTTTTGTTTTTAGTGGTATGACTAATTTGATATTTGGAGTCGGTATAGGATTGTTCCTTATTTTAGTTCTTTGGGCTTTAGCTCTATTGATATTTATTATTTCTTTAAGAATTGAAAAAAAAATTGGTATTTTTGCTATACTTATAGTTAGTATATGCACAATTATTTTAATTACATTGCCAAGAGCATCAGAAAAACCTATTATAAATAATAAAAAGGTAAATAATTGTTATAAAATTTTGATATATTTCTATTAATATTAATATTTATATATATAAAATAAATACTTAATCCTCATAGTTTTAGATATGAAAAACATATTTTGTTACAGATATATGATCATTTATTTATTTGGCGCATTTTATTACTCATTTTATTAATAATATCATCTATAATTGGTTTGATGGGATACATTAAATTTGTAATAACAGAATCTATCAGACCAATTCGAATTATTAATTGGGTTTTCTAAAAATTTATCGTAAGTATTATTTTATCATAATTGTTATAATAATATAAAATGAATATAAAAATATTAATTTTTTTAATTTCTATAAACTTTCAGAATTTATGATAATAAGCAAAAATATTTTTTATTAATTATGTAAAATATATATTAAAAAAAAATAGAATGTTTTGATCTTATTTATATTTAATATTATTATATTATAATTATTATTTATTTCATCATTAATATAATATAATAATTTAAAAAGTTATAAAATGTTACGTAATAGTATTAAACTTTCAAAACTTTTAGTGAGATATGTTTCTTCATCATATCAAAAAAATAAACAATTTGAAATAAATAACAATAGTGAATTTGTTAGTAAAGTAATGAATAATTCAGTACCTGTTATTGTGAATTTTCATGCTGAATGGTGTGATCCTTGTAAAATTCTCACACCTAAATTAATAGAATTAATAGGTCCAATGGATAAATTAGATCTTGCCATTGTAAATTTAGAATCAAATCCAGAATTAGTACATATATTTGAAGTGAAAGCTGTACCAGCTATTATAGCAATTTCAAGTGGATTGGTTGTGGATAAGTTTATAGGTTTAACTGATTTAGATATTATAGAAAATTTAATACAAAAACTTACTAATACATCTTTAAATTCTGAAAATAATAAAAGAAAAGTTTAATATTCATTATATGTATTATATAAAATCATCATAATAAATAATTAAACATATTTTTATAATTTATATTGTATTATATAATTCTATTTTATGTCATATAAATGTCATATAAATGTTTTTAGATGGTATTTAGATAGTAGTAATCACATGTCATAAATACAAATCATAAAATTAAATGAAAAAATTTTATGAAATAAGTTATATTAAATTCTATTATATAATGTAACTATTACTAAATGAAATCAATTTTAAGGATAGTTTTGAAATTCAGAGTTTTGATTAAGATTAACATTATGATTCTATTATAAGTAATAAATGTTAGGATAAGAATATGAAGTCGTAATTTCAAAAAAGATAACATTTTTATTTATTATTTATAATAATTTCTTTTTAATTATTTTACAAACTTTTAGTAATTTATATTATAGGCATCAATAATTTTATAACATGATTATAAAATGATTTTTAAACTGATTGTGTATATTACATACAATATTTTATATTAATTAATATGAACAGTTTTTTTAATCTACAATATTAACTGTACTTATTGAACTATTCCTAGTTTAAAATTAAAATATATTTCAAGGAACTTACTTTGCTTGCATAATTGCTATCGCTAAAATGTCTCTTATTAAAATATAATTAATGAGATGAACTATTGACTTAAGAAAATTTGTTTGAAGCACATTATGCAATAAAGTTAACAATGGTTTATTATCAAATAATGATTGCAAATCTAAGATAAAACATAATTGATATAAGGATCACAAACAGTTATTTAATCTGACTTCTATTTTTATTTATTTTTGATTTTGAAGCAATTTTATATAATCTATGTATGAAATTATTATTGATTATAGATAGTAGGCCAAAGATTTAATAAAAAATGTAATTCATGTATTCCCTGATAAAAGAGATTTTTTTGTCCCTTGGCAGCAAGCGATATATAAATGTGTACCAACAATTAAAAGACTAGTTAAAATTTCTTTATCAGTCAAGTGTTTTCAAGAAACACTATGATAAGGCAATATTGTGATTTTTAGTTGTTTGCAAAATCTGTAATTTTTTGTGTTAAACATATTTTTTTTTTATTTTATTTTGAGTAAAAGAGTATTTTATAGTTTTGCAAACAACCCTTTTAGTTATTAATTAATTATTATATAAGTTTTAATGTATAAAATTAGGTAAAAACTTTCAATGAATCTCTTTTTTTAAAAGAAGAAATGATAATAGATTTATTTTTCGATTTTGGATAAATATTGTGGTGTATTCATTTGCAATAATTTTTATTATGACATTTGTTTTTATTATTTATTCAATAATTATTTCCAATGAAAATTATGAATTATATATTCATTATATAGTTTAAATACACCACTATTGTTATCCTTCTATACAATAAAGATATACAAAGAAAATGTTATGGAGTTACATTTAACACTGCTATTAATGCACCGATATGTTCTGTAGAGGCAAATTCATGGCCCCACAAAATTACACATTCAGTAAATACATTTGGACGCTTTAATCTTGCAGAAATGTTATGCATATTTACAACTTACCTATATCAAATAGTTTAAAAAAAATATAACAAAATGTAGAAAAACACGAATGATATATACAAATTTATTTCGATGTTACTTGCTGTTATTAAGAATATATAGAAATTTCTAAAAAATATAATATATAGTAATTTTTATTCTTATAATTTAATTTATTTCTTAAAAATTCTTAAAAATAGTACTATAATTAAAAAAAACATACATTAAAAAACATACATAACATTATTAAAAATTGCAACAATAACAATTATCATTTTTATATTTTTTTAACTTTATATTATATCACTGATGCATCAAATATATTTTGATTCCGATTTTTATTAAAATATAAATAATGAAAAATTCGAAATTGCTTTTATATTAATAAAAATAATAAATTAACTATTATTAACAACAAGTAACATCTATTTTCATTTCTAGTAAATAATCTAATTATTATGATACATAGTATAATACAACATGATACAATTTACTTTGCATTGAATAACTTGGCGATTGACATTAATTTTCTCTTCAATAAATGTGCAAGAAATAATATAATTCTTTCATTCTTTCATAATTGATAAAATACACATTTTTTTTTGTAATAAATTTTCAAATTCATTTTTCTAAAAATACATATTTTAAAAAAATTCATCTATTAAAAAAATCATTGCAATGAAAACAATATGGAAATGAGTTAAAAAAGAAATATTAAGTGAATAATAATTTTAATAATTAAAAAAATTATATAATCATATGAAAAATGAAGAGTATTTTATAGCTGTAACTATATGTATATGTATATGTATACACACGCGCACACATTTTTTCTCTCTCTTTTTTAATTTTTAGAATTAAGAAACTAGTGTTAAAATCTGTTGATTTTCAATATTTACAATTTTAAGAATAATCTTCCATCAAAAATTTTTATATTTATCATTTTATAACTGGAATGAATTTTTCATTTTTATAATGCATTGATATCAGTATTTGCAATATGTGATTCAAAAAAATGAAATGTATGAAAGTCGTCTTAATATACATTACTACAGAAAATTTAAAAATATTTCATCATACTTCTGCCCCCAAATCTCTTACACCTTGTTCTGCTATTGGAACATATTTATCATCAATTTTAACAAGTAAGATAACTTTATCTACATGAGATCGTCGATTAGGATCACGATGATTTGGGGACCAACAATGAACAACACATCCTTCCATACCTCTTTCAGGTACCCAATGCTGCCATCCAGATCTACCACCTTGTTGCCTCATTCTTTCATCTGGCCAAATTACATCTATGCGACGACCCAAATTAATAGCATCATATACTTGATTAGGATCTATAATCTAATAATGAAAAAATAAAATAATTTTTAATAAATTTTTAACAAAAAAATATATAATATATATATATATATCTTATGTAAGACACATATATATCTTACAAAATAATTCTATTTTTTACTTACTCGTACTCGTTGTAAAACTTCGTCCTTTTCAAGTTTACTCGTGAAACTTGTTTCACTTTTACTTTCTGTTTTAATATCGCTATTACTAAGAAGACCAGCTAAACTAGCAAGCGTCGAACTTGTTGGTTTTCCAACTGAAGCTAATGATCCTCTATTTCCACCTAAGGATCCAGTATTTGTTCTTCCTAAAGAACCACGTCCAGCTGATCCACCAATTTGACATCCAGAATCTATAGATTGCGAACCTGATGTGTTATGACCTGTTGATTGTCCATAACCTATATCAAAAATTTTATTTTTATATTGTAAAATAATGAAAATGATGAAAATAAATATAATGATTATTGAGGTATTATAATACCTAAATGAATATTATATGTAGTCATTGCATATACTCCATCATTTCCAAAACCTCCATCATCTTGAGACCCTGTTCCTCCAGATGAACAACCTTGACCGCATCTTCTTCTGATTCTATAAATAAAAATCATAATGATGATAAACTTTACCATTTGTAATTTTTGTTAATAATTTATAATTTATAATTACATGATATAATACTAAGGGGTACCTTTGCCACAGTTTTAAGACATTACTTTTAATTACACCAAGACTTAAAGGTCCACCAATTATGGAACATAATTGTTCATTAGTTTCTGCATAACTAGTTGTTAATGGTGAAACATAAATTGGATATCCAATCGGTTGATCACAAGAACTATTTATTATGTTTCTAAGAGCTTGTTTAGCATTCTGTATAGAACCTCGCTCAGGATTTCTATTTCTCAAATAAACTAATTCTTGTTGTTGTCCAGCCCATAAACCACGAACACATTCACGATTCATTTTAATTACTCGAAAACTTAAAAAACGTTTGTTAAGCATTATAACTTTATATTCATCAATGCCATCATCAAGTACATGTCTAAAAATCAAAATAATAAGTAATAATAATTATTTTTTAATTAATTTTAAAAATATTTAGATATAGACTATCAAAGTACCTAAGTGCCAAAAGGCTTGGTGCACCATTTAAAACAGCATTTCTCCAAAGTGGATCTGCTTCATGACTAATTACAAGATTTTTATCATGACTATCTATAGCTTCATAAAGAGCAGACAATTCATTATATTGCTCTGGACTCATAAAATGATCTTGATGTAGTTTTAATGCCATTCTTACTCCTTTTGCTACGACACTTCGTAATAAATCAACATCATGTAATACCCATTCATCCCTAATTGATGTTATACGAAAATCTCCTAAATATATAAATTTATATTTTTCAAATATTTTTAAATTTTAAAAAAATCAATTTTTTTCGTTATTTATTATGAAATGATATACCTTTAAAAAGAGCATGTAAACCATATAAAAAAAATTCAACACTGGAAACAGTATTATGAGATAGTGCTCCCAAAACGCGTCTTCCCAAGAGACTTAAAGCAAGACATAAAGATACCAATGATGAATTTCTTGATTTATCTAATGTCTAAAACAGATATTAATAAATTAATGCTATATAATAATATAATTTACATATATTTGAAAATTTACCTTATCTTGTTTAGTAACACAATACTGTATCCAATCCAAATAAACATTGCAAAAACTATTTCTTGTAATGCCACACGTTCGGATATCATAATCTTCGTGAATACTCAAATTAAAAACAGGATCCAGGTCAACGAAGTTTTTATCAAGAGTTATTTTTAGGGCATCAGAAATATCGGAATTCTCTAACCAATATTTCAATTTTGGTGATTTTACAGCATAGAAAACAATACTTTTGACATAGTAAGTAACTAGTACTTTACGAAACTCAAACACTTGAAGCATAGAAACTGCTGAATTATCTGAAATCGAGTATCCTTCTAAAACGTACTTAGCACTTGCAACTTCCCAAGCTAACCAGCGTTGACTGAAAGCTGCGTTTACACTTAATACATTTGAAAAATGTCCCATTTCACAACAACAACAATTGTCATTATCTTCAATTCCTTCAGAGATTGCTTCTACCTAAAAATTAAAGTGTTTTAAAAT